TTATCTATCCTGTTTTAAGAGCCACTGGGACAAAGGTCTTAACTCTTTAAGAACCTCCATCTATCCCTGCTCAGAAAACAACTGGACTAATGACATTAAGAGATAAACTCATCCTAACAGAATCTAACTGGTAAAACTTACCACTCTTATAGAGTAATAGATTCAAACACATGATACACATATAACAAATCCATATGATTCATTCCAATGAAACAAAATAACCAAAACAGGTTCTTGATTTATTATAATTAATGTATCATGTTACATAGCAAAAATAGATACCATTTCAAGTCATTACAACAAAGGTCCTAAACCCATACCAGTTGATGACTCCACCACTAGTCTACGACTCAAACCCTTAGTAAAAGGATCTGCCAGGTTTTTCTCTGTTCGAACATAGTCCAACGAAATAACCTCATTCACAATAAACTGCCTCACAGACTCGTGTCTGACTCTTATGTGCCTTTTCTTACCGTTGTAAACACTATTTTTAGCAACACATATAGCGGCTTGTGAATCACAATGCATAGAAACAGGTGGTGACGGCTTCCCCCACAAAGGAATATCAATAAGCAAATTTCTCAACCAACCTGCCTCTTGTGTAGCAAGATCCAATGCGATGAACTCAACTTCCATAGTTGATCTAGCTATACACGTCTGCTTACCAGACTTCCATGAAACTGCACCCCCACTAAGGGTAAACACATAGCCACTTGTAGAGCTTGTTTCATCACTATCCGTTACCTAATTTGCATCACAATACCCTTCAAGAACCAAAGGATGACCAAAAAATTCAATCCCCAAGTCATGGTTCCACATAGATATCTGAGCACGCGCCTCAAAGCAACCCAATGTTGCTCACTAGGACAATGAGTATAGCGACTAAGTCTACTAACAGCAAAAGCAATATCAGGGCGAGTGCAATTCATCAAAAACATCAGACTACCAAGCACCTTAGCATATTCAGATTGAGACACACCGTCCCCCACATTTTTCACCAAAGTTCCAGAAGGATCAAAAGGAGTTCTCAATGGAGGAAAATCAAAACAATTAAAGTTCTTCAGAATTTTCTCCACGTAATGAGACTGAGACAGAAAATACCCTTTCTTGGTTTTAGTAACTTTAACACCAAGGATCACATCTACCTCTCCCAAATCCTTCATCTCGAACTTTGAATTTAAATATTTCTTAGTTTCATTTATGACACACATGTTTGTGCCAAACAGGAGCATGTCGTCAACATACAGACATAATATCACACATTACGCACCAAACATCTTAGAGTACACACATGCATCACTACCATTGACAACAAAACCAAAACTAAGAATAGTTTTATGAAATTTTTCATACCATTGCTTCGGAGCTTGTTTCAAACCATATAAGGATTTCTTTAGTCTACACACCTTATTCTCCATCCCAGGAACTACAAAACCCGGAGGTTGCTCCATGTAGATCTCCTCCTCCAAATCGCCATTCAGAAAAGCTGTCTTAACATCCATCTGATGCACAATCAAATTGTAAGATGAAGCTAAAGCAAACAAAACACGAATAGTGGCAATTTTAGTCACCGGAGAATAAGTATAAAAATAATCAAGACCAAAATTTTGAGTGAATCCTCTTATCACCAATCTAGCCTTGAACCTTTCCACGGTGCCGTCGGTTCTCATCTTTCTCTTGAAAATCCACTTGCACCCAATAGCTCTACTCCCTTTTGGCAGGTCCACAAGCTCCCATGTACCATTTGACATGATCGAGTCAAGCTCACTGTTTACAGCTTCCTTCCAGAAGGTTGCACCTACTGAACTTATAGCTTCTTCAAACGATTTCGGATCTTCATCCACAACCTGAAGACACAACATGATCTCATCTAGATCATCTTCGAACTCACCTAGATTTCCGCACTCTGCTATAAAGGCTGTTAGGAAATCAGGTCCAAACCTTGTCTCCACTCTTTGCCTTTTACTTCTCCTAGGTTGAATCTCACTTTCAATCCTAGGGGAAGCAACTTTTGGCCCTGCAGATGAAGGAACTGAAGAAACATCGTCAGTAAATAAATTTTTCTTCAAAGGAAATACATGTTCAAAGAACTCTGCATCACGAGATTCAGATATAGAGCGATCTTCCAGACTCATAAACCTGTAAGCGGCACTATTCTCAGCGTAGCCAATGAATACCGTATCATAGGTCCTAGAACCTATAGTTGAGTGCTTGAACGATGGATAGCCCACCTTAGCTAGATACCCTCACACTTTCATGTGATTCAAGTTTGGAGCATAACCCTTCCATATTTCATATGGAGTCTTGTCTAACTTCTTGTGAGTTACTCTGTTCTGTACATAATTAGCTGATAGAGCCGCTTCACCCCACAAGTTGTCTGGAAACCCGGAACTTAGGAGCATTACATTTATCATTTCCTTCAAGGTCCTATTTTTCCTCTCTGCCACACCATTTTGCTGCGGAGTATACGGGGCAGATACTTCATGAATGATTCCCTCACTTTCACACAAATCCTTAAGGAAATCAGAGCCATATTCTCCACCCCTATCAGAGCGAACTCTCTTTATTTTCTGCTCTAACTGATTTTCTACCTCTGCCTTATACATAAGAAACTTGGACTCAGCTTCATCCTTTGTCCTCAAAAGATACACCTTGCTATATCTAGAACAATCATCAACGAAGGTGATATAGTAGCGTTTCCCGCCTCTACTTTCCAAGTTCTTAAAATCAGCTAAATCTGAATGAATTAGCTCAAGTGGTGTGGTCTCTCTCTTCGTGACAGATTTATAGGGTTTCTTCACGAATTTAGACTCCGCACACACTTCACATTTTTCAAATCCATCTAATGACATATTTGGGAGCAAATTTAAACTTTTCATTTGTTTCAATTTTGTTGCACCAACATGACCCAATCTACTATGCCATAATTCAAAGGACTCAAAAATATAATCAGAAGTAGAAATCTTATTCATTGAAGGAATAGTTAAAATCTCAAGAACAAATAGGCCCCCACTAAGGTAGCCCTTTCCAACATACTCCCCATTACGGGTTAACACAAGTTTATTAGCATCAAAAACTAACTTAACTCCTACTTTGTTCAACAAAGCACCAGAAATTAAATTTCTACGAAGAGAAGGAACATACAACACATTGTGAAGAGCCAAGGTCTTCGCTGAAGTCAGCTTCAGAACCACTTTGCCCTTTCCAAGTACCTCAGAGCTGCTTGAATTTTCCATGTAGACTTGTTCACCTTCCTTTGCATCTTCCATACTGACAAACAATTCCTTGTTAACACAGAAGTGTTTAGATGCACCAGTATCCATAATCCATTCACTGTTGTTCTCAACCAGGTTGACTTCAGAAACAATTGCAGCAATGACATCTTCATCCTCATTCTCAACCAGATGAGCATGAACTTTGATTCCTCCACTTAATTTCATATTTTTCTTCTTCTTGTTTTTGCATTGTGAAGCAAAGTGCCCCACTTCACCACATGACCAACACTTGCCAGTGACTTTCTTCCCAATCTTGCCCTTAGCTTGGAGATTTCCCTTCTTCTCAGAGTTCCCCTTCTTGGCACGATTATCACTTGCTTTCTTGTCAGAGTCAGCACCAGATTCAACAAGGTTAGCCTTGATTGCTAACACATTCTTAGGCTTAGAGGAAACATCCTCAAGCCTATTGGCTTCCTCAATCTTCATGTGGCTCACAAGTTCTTCTAGGGTTAGATCCCTCTTTTTATGCTTGAGGTGATTTCTATAATCAGACCAGGAATCAGGCAATTTTTCAATCAAGACATTAGCCTGAAGGATTTCACACATCTTCATACCCTGAGTAAGAATTTCAGCAACATAATTTTCATACACATGGACTTGGTCCATAATAGGCTTTGTATCCACCAATTTGAAATTCAACTAATTTCCAGTCACATACTTCTTTTTCCCAGCATCATCATCACCATATTTCTTATCTAAAGACTCCCACATCTCCTTAGCAGATTTTATATTGACATAAAAATCAAATATGTTGTTTTTCATACTGTTCAAAAGATGACCTCTAACGAATTTATTATCACCATCAAATTTCTTGATTTCAGATTCATTAGCAATAACAGTAGTGATCCTTTGACTAGAACTAGATTCTTTATTCCCAGGAGCAGGAGTACTAGGAATTTCAATCATGGTATTGGTTTGCTCAATGGGTTTTGGAGCATCCCTAAACAAAACATAATCAATCTCTACTTGTTCAAAAGCAATCAACATCCTTTGTGACCATCTCTTATAATTAATTCCATCAAGAGACTCAACCTTAGACAGATCTAGGTATAGACGAGTTTGAGAATTGCTAGTCATGATATCAACAGAATAAATCAAATTCTATTTCGCTTCTAAATTGTTGGAAAAATAACTGTTGAAATCAATAACAAACAATAAAAGATTAGAACTTTCCTGGATTGAAGATCCCAAACTCACAGTCGCGCCGTGCAACAAAATCCACTTCCTTAGAAGCGAAATACGCCACCACCGGTACAAGTTTCCTAGTGACGCACGCTCCCCAAGTTTAACGCAACTCTCTCCGTAATCCGTGCACCCGAACTCCAAGAGTGGAATTGCTCAAGAACTGTTCAGATCTCAAAAGGTAGGTTTCTGTTTTCGGCTAGAAAGTGAATGAATGTCATGAAAAAGTAAGACTCGTATTTATATGAGTCTTGAAAAAGAGAAACACGTAAGCAAACCGACCTCGAAAAAAGGCGAGCTGCCGCCCGATCGGGCGCGAGATCGAGCTTCTCCAGACGTAGTGTTGCTCCCGGTCGGGCGGACACCGCCCGGTCGGGCGATCTGAAATTCCCATTCCGGGCAAGCCATTGGGCGATGCCACCCAATCGGGCTCGTCAAAAACTCGAATCCGCCGCCCGATCGGGCGCGAGAGTTCCCGATTTTTCCTTGACCGCCTTCGCCCGATCGGGCGCGAATCATCCGTTTGCATTACTATTTCCAACACTAACCCTTCTCTCTCTTATTTCATTTTATCTCTCTACAAATTTCCTCTCACCCCACTTCTCTGTGGTTCAAGCTGAGAAATTCTTCACTAGCTAGCTCGTCGAAAATTGTTCAATGGGTTTCAAATTTTTTTTGGGTTTTCGTTTAATTTTTAAATTTTATGATTTTAATTTTACTTTTTTATTTCTAGCTTCATACGGCGGAGAATTACAGGGGTTGTGGAAGATGAATCTCCGATCTCCAGGTATAACTCTCTTCCCTTTCTCTCTTTGTTGTAATTGGTTCGGTGTTCATATTTTCATTTTACTTCAATGTTGTGTGCCTTAATTTTAAGTTTATTTTTGGTTTTTTTTTTTTAAAAACATTCTTACGATTTATTTATTTCTAATGGATCTTATCTAGCAACTTCCTACTAAGGTATATCTTCATTCTCATGGTTTCCTTTATTCTGTTCATCTTTAAATTGAGAATTTTTCAAGTCAATTTGATAAAAAAGAATTTGGGGTTATCAATTTAGTTCAGTTCGAGTAAAATTTGGGGTTTTTCTCGATTCAATTATATTTGTTTTTAGATTGGAGTTAACCTAATTTAATTCAGTTAGTTCATAGATGTTCACACTATTAATAATCTTCACATCAAGTACTTTGATTTAACAATTATAGGTGCTATGGATTTTAAGATCTAAAATTGCGGTTTTTTGTAGGAGGTGAAGAACAACTGGTGGGTCTTTTCATCAACTACGGGCAAGCATCTGATTTCATTGACTTTCTTGGTATGATTCTGATTATTGCTAAGGATGAAATTTTTGGGAAGATAACAACTAATTTCTTGATGATTTCTTGTATGAATTGGAAGTAGCTTCACAAAATTCCAAAAATTTGAGGGTAGGATTGAATAAGGTGGATTAGCAAGCTTGCAAAAAACTCAGAAAATAAGGATCACCTCTCTAAAAATTTTTGCTGTATATATAAGCTGGTCTTTTGATGTTGGAATGTTTCCCTCTTTCCCTTCATTCTTGTTGTGTGAGGGATGAAACCGTAAAGGACAAAGTGATACTTTTAGACAATAAGATAATCAATAGATCATGCTTGCATATATAAGCTATACTGTCACAAACAACTAGACCCAACTAGAGTTGACACAACTTGGAACTGTAATATGATATTGTGGGATTTAAGTCAGTGTTTTTCAACTCATAACCTGCTATGGGATTACTTAAAATTGGACCCAAATCAAAATTGATCCTTACCAACTTAATTTTTAAAATCTCAAAGTACCTAATATGTAACTGATTAGATGTCTGAGAGGTTTATAATTGCAACTTCCCTCTCTCTCTCTCTCTCTCTCTCTCTCTCTCTCTCTCTCTCTCTCTCTCTCTCTCTCTCTCTCTCTCTCTCTCTCTCTCTCTCTCTCTATGGTCATACATTAAAGTGTTGAAAGGTTGAATTATCCTTGCTTCTTACCTAACAAATTTTATCTTGTTCTTTTATATTTTGTAGGAAATATCTTTCTGTGAAGATGGTGAGCCCAAAATAGATGCAAAAGCTGGGGATTTGAAGGTATAGTTTTTATGTTGTTGAAGATACTCTAGATAACAAGTTCTTTCTACTTATTTCTATAAAACGTACTATGTTTGTGTAAGGAGGGTGTTCCCGTCGTAGAGGATCCTTCTCATTTGATTCCCATGGCCCTTTAAAGCCTAGGATTTTACACTTGTTAGGGTGTATTAGGATTTGAATTCCTGACTGTTTGGGAGACCTTTGAATTAAAGATGATTCTATCATTGTAGGGAATATTTTAAGCATCATAACCCCAAGCTTGAACCCCACTGTGATCATACACTTAAGTATGGTGGTGTTCCAAAGGGAAGAAAGCTAGAGCAAAAAAGTCGCCAACAAGTTTTAGGAACTTGTAACCCAAAACGATCCAGGAGATCGTCAACTCCATAAGTTCAGGAACCAAATAGGGTTCGGGGATGAGGGTACGAATCCAATCTACAAAAGAAAGGACCCGCCCTATAAAATAGGCCTCTACTTTATTCTACTCGTATTCATGTGCGCTTTCTAACTAACATGCTAACATTATATTAGCCCTAAACATGTTTATCTATGTTGGTTAAATATTAATGCACAAATAAAACTATTATTGGCGATCACTTGAATTAAAATCATATTAGCCTAAACCAAATTATTAATTATTTTATTATGCGTGATTTCAAATACAAATTCCCTTTAACAATCATAAAAGGTGTGATCAAGCAATAACAATAAAATAATATCAAGTAACATAATAATAATAATCATAATTATAATAATAATCATAATATAATCATAATCATGATAAGGCATAATAAAGCTTAATAATAATAGCAAGATCCTAGGCATGATACTAACAAGATTAATAACAAATCCTAGCATGTCACTAAACATTAAAGATCAAAGCTTTTAACCTAACATGGTACTAACATAATATTAGAAAAGAGTAAAGGCACCCTAAACATGATTCTAGAAAGCAATAAATGACATCCTAACATGATACTAGGAATTAAACAATAAACATGCTTTCTACATTGAAAGAGAGTAATAAGATTTCATACTTTGATGTCTCGTACCTCTTTCTAATAAATAAATACACAAGTTAGTAAACTTCAATGAAAATAATAAAGAACTAAATTAAAGAAATTAAAGAAGAATCAAATTAAATAAAGTTTTAACTAGATTTGGACCAAACCCTCAGAAAATATTAACCTTGCACGTCTAGGCGAACGCAACTTCGAACTTGGCTAGATGTTTCTAAATTTTGTGTATGCGGAATTGTGTTTAAAGAAAGGTTGGTTTAGAAAGAGAGAGAAAAAGAATAAACATATATTTCTTAAGAGAGAATTAGTTAATTCTTGATGAGAGTTGATTTTAAAAAAGAGGAGATATGACCTCTATTTATAGGAAAAAAAGAGGGTCGAAGAATTAAGAAAAGAATCCAAATTCGAATCGAAATAAAACTCGTAGACAGCAGTTTTTGCGTATTTTGTTTTTATCATATCTTTTGATCTAGAAGTCTAAATAAGGCATATAATATGTCGTTGGAAAGCTCTTGAAGTTTACTTTTTAACCCAATTAGAATTAGATAAAATCTTTTGTAGATAAAAGGATATGGCCGAAATAGTAGGACGGTGTCAGTTTTGGATAGAGTTTCGTATTCCTATCATATATTTTTCGTTATAGCTCGGATTTAGTATTATAATATATCATTGGAAAGATAATTTCAAGATCTATCCAACCATATAAAATTTAGATAAAAAATATGAGGCAAAAAAAATAATATCTGACTGTCTTTGGACATGTTTAAATTCAAATAGAATTAGGACTTTAAAAAAGGAAAGTTTTATAAAAGGAAAGTTTATATTCAAATCAAATTCCTTAATCTTATTTTTTCAAAAAAGGATAATTAATATCTTTTAGAATCTTATAGAAGATTCTAATCAATCCTAATTAGTTTAGGAATAGGATTAAACCTTTGGACCCTCCACATGATCATTGGGTCGTAGGTAAAATCCCGTTTGGGCCCAGTTTAGTAGTTTGGCCATAACTTCCTCATTATTCATCGGAATTGGGCTTATAATATATCGTTGGAAAGGTCTTTTCAAGTTCCATCCAACTACACCATTATTGGACCCTTATCATGGACCAAACTAAACTTGAATGGACATTTTTATAAAATAGAGTGGGTTTTCGAAAACAGAAAGAAAGAATTTAATAAAAACTAACCGCAACACTTAACCTTTCACACTTTCACTTCATTCGATTTTGAATCGACACGAAAAGTATTCATCACTGGGTTTGGTTTTGGGGAGACACAATTGGGTGTCTACAGAAGCCCCCACTTTGACTGAGTTTTGAGAAACCTAGGTTTCGAAAACAAAAGTCAAAGTAGCGATAGGGACGGAGAATGATTCAGAACGTTCTGCGATCCCAAATCATTCTTATAACGCCAATACCTGCAAAACAACGTTAGTTAAAACAGACAAAAGAGTTAAGAAACGCGTATCTTGCACAGTCAAACACACGTCTCTGGAGTAACCGTTTTGTTGTTACATTTTTATCTGACGACCTTCTACAAGCTAGAGAACGCCATCTTTGAAGGTAACATTGCGTCATCATCTTCAACTTCTCTTGGTGACAATCCTCCACAGTATCTCGGGAACATCGTCGAAAATAACTGTACGTCGTCATCTTCAGGGTTGTGGCAGTACGTCGCCACGGTAGTGCGCCGCCGCTATAGACAATCTCTTCTTTATCTTGAGGGACCGTCGAAGGTGACCATATCTTGTCATCTTTTGAATTTGTGACAACTCTCCACATCCTAGGGAATACTGTCTATCATTGCTGCTACATCTCGAGCTTTTTCTTGAATCATGGTGACAACCTTCCCAATCATAGCAAATGTCGTCGAAGACCGCCTCATCACGAACCGCTCTTCTCAAATAAAGGTGAAAACCTCCACAATCTTAGCGGGCGTTGTCGAAGATTGCTCATCTCGTGCTATCTTCTCAAATAAAGTGATAACCTCAACAATCTTAGCGAAAGCTATCAAAGACCGCTTCATCTTGAACTGTTCTTCTCAAATCTAATAATAACCTCCCCAATCATAGTGAAAGCTATTGAAGGTCGCTTCATCTCAAACCGTCCTTCTCAAATCCAAGTGAAACCCTTTAAATTTTAAAGCCCCCCTGTTGAAAGCTTCGTCTTCTTGAATCTTCAAATCTTCTTCCATCCTAGGAAATCGTTGTGAACTGTTACTTTGGTGCTTGCGATGAGCCAATGCTTAGGCGCTTTAAGCTAAGTGAGACGATCTTTTGTCAGGTCGATCACTCATTGCGATTGTAATCGAGCCGACTACTTAATCATATCAAATTGCTTAGAGGGGCTAACTAGCGTACCAAGGAACCCGAAATTGCTGAACCAGGTTTATATGACCACATAATGAAGCCACGTGACCTGTCGCCGCACCAGCGCAAGCTAAAAGTGCTTGTCGCCGCGATATCGCTCTGTCGCCAGGCGACAACCTTGTCTTTTGGCGACAGATTTCTTTTTCAATTATGCTGCTGCTGTTCATTGCCTGGTTTCACTCCAAACTTTCAATTTGGTCGTTTCCTTACAACTAAATCTGCTCAAATCGTTTGCGAATTAAAGCTCTTCATAATTTTGCTCAAACTTCTCTCATCTTGGAAGAATCTCATATATCTATATTCGCGATTTTTCGAAAAAATCCGGAAATATTGTTGCTCGATGGAATGTACCTGCATCTACATTTCAGACTATAGGACTTTGCTAATCTTTTATTATCTTAGGGTTGACCTAAGGCTTAGTGTTGTTTGACTCATTGATTTGACATGACTCGACTCAAAGCGTTTAACACATGTGTTAGACTCAACTCGATGTGATATGACACGACATGACTCAATGTACATGACTCGTGTGTAATGTGCGACTCGAAAATGCAAAAAAGTAAAAAATTTCCGTCATTTTTGTGGAGGGTACCGACCTTCTCCCGAAAAAGAAAGACGCGGAAAAGAATCGAAGTGTTTGATGGTGCATGTTGAATGAGCTTAGGAAAATATATGCGTTGATGCTATCTCTCAAGGTGCAATGATTAATTCATCCTAAACTATTTTAGTTGACTCGATTATGAAAGTATTTAGGTAACTTAGGCACGGATGCTAAGCACTTCATACTTCTTGATACAACAATGATTATGAGTGATGAGTGATGTGTGATTTTGATAAGGCATGCTTCAACGTTGTGTTAAGATTTTATGACAAAGGGTTCCTAAGGGGAAGTCTATTTGGTCATGTATCTGTGATGTGTGTGAAAGTGACACTAAAGTTAGGCTGCAAAGGCTAACGGTGTGGAAAAGTATATTATTTAATAAGAGTCATATAATGATGACTCTTAGGCTAGGTAGGCTAATGATGTAAGGATCAAGCCCCCAAGTCTAGCTCTAAGTGAATAGGGATGAGCATTGGAGATCCCTTGATATGATCATGGTGTAAGTGTGTGAATGTGAAAATGAATACATTTTTATTAAGGTCGCACCTCAATGTGAGGTTGCCTACGTATCCGTTAGGAATCAGGCCAAAAGTAGCTCTAGCCGAACCTCGCACAAGTGTATGTATACCTCAAAAAGGTCTTTTTAAGGGTTGTATCGTGGTTAGGCTAAAGGTTGAAGAAGAAGGGGATAAAGGCTCAAGACCCTAGATAAGCCCCCAAGGTGTGCAACCTTGCTTTTGTATTATTGTATTTTTATGCTTGAGGTTTCTCATTTTTGAGCTCTCTTTCTTTTTTTTTTTTTTTGCTCTTCTTTTTTTTTTTTTTTGCTTTTGCATTTATTTTTTTTTTAAGTGTGGGCAATCCTGATCATGCGGTCCATCACTCACTTGGCATTCATGTTTCTCAGGCACGGTACCGAGCACTCGATAAGAGACGCAATGCGAGACGTGTTCTTATCAAAGATATTTGCATATCATAGACATTGGAACACTTGCCCTTTTGCACACTTTTAT